TTTTTTTTTTTTTTTCTCTCTCTCTCTCTAAAATAAATAAACATTAAAAGGATTTTAACTGCCAAAGAACCTATTATTGCTTTTTAATTTAATCTAATTTTAATTTTTTTAATGTTTATTTATTTTTGAGAGAGAGAGAGAGACAGAGACAGAGAGAGAGAGTGCATGCAAGTGAGTGGGGGAGGGGCAGAGAGAGAGGGAGACACAGAATCTGAAGCAGGCTCCAGGCTCCAAGCTGTCAGCACAGAGCCCGACACGGGGCTTGAACTCATGAGCTGTGAGATCATGATCTGAGCTAAAGTCAGATGCTCAACCGACTGAGCCACCCAGGCACCATCCCAATTTTTTTTTTTTAACATTTATTTATTTTTGAGACAGAGACAGAGCATGAATGGGGGAGGGTCAGAGAGAGAGGGAGACAGAGAATCTTAAGCAGGCTCCAGGCTCCGAGCTGTCAGCACAGAGCCCGACGTGGGTCTTGAACTCACGAACTGAGAGATCATGACCTGAGCTGAAGTCAGAGGCTTAACCGACTGAGCCACCCAGGCGCCCATATTACTGGTTTTTAAAAATGAGTTTGTATTTCAGTGTCCTTGCCTTGTGAGATTTCCTTTGCAGGAAAGAGTTTTGCTTGAAAGAAGAAAAAAAGAAAGCCAACTAGGAAAAAAGGGAGCAACAAGAGTAACTGTCCCAAATGGGCAGATTTGTGGGGTGCCCTTCCTCTCTGATGTCTGCGATCCTGGGAGCTAGGGCTTACATCTTAGGGGAACAGACTCACCTTCCTTGTCTCTGGGATTCTGACTTCTGGCTCTCATTTATCATGTTTATTGAGAGTGGACATTCCCTTCCAAGGGAGTGTTCGGTATCCTAGCTTCTTCTGGTTCTTGGTGCTGCGAAAATCTGATAACCCTGGGTCCACGCTGAATAAGCAGATGACACCCGGTGTGTTGCAGTTGGAAGAGTTAAGCGAGCTTTTCTGGTTGAGTCCTATCATTGGAGGAGTAAGGAAACTGGAATCCAGAGATGTGGAGTGACCCACCCAAGGGCTCAGATCCCCTGTCGTGCTTAGCAGAAGTCAGAAGGCCCCTGGCAACTAATGAAATCTTGCTGTTTACTCTTTAGAGCAGCACCTCGAGTGAACTTCAGTACCTGTAATTCAGAGTAGACCATCCTCTTGCTTACAAGCCTTGCATGGTTCCCATCTCGCTCAGGGTATAGTTTTTGCTTGCTGTGAGCTTTGGAGCTGTGCCCATTTCTGCATCCTCTTTTCACTTCAGCCTTGTTTGTGGGGCTCTGACTGGAGCCCTGCCCTTCTCTTCTCTTTGTGCCTAGACCATGTGTGGTGGTCCCTGCCTCAGGGCCTTTGCACTTGTTCACCTCTGTGTGCTCTAGCTGCTGCTCTTCATTTGCATCCAAGCTCAGAAGTCACCTTCTTAGAGAGGCCTCCTTAAGCCTTAGCCCCTCTATATTTTCTTAGTAGCCCTGATTATGATCTGAAGTTATTTTAGTTATTATTTTTATAATGATAACTCTCTCTACCTCTCTACTTGTCTCTTTGTGTTTGTTTCTGCCCATGAGGATAAAAGGTCCCTAGGTCACAGTCTTTACATGACCTGTCCAGCATCACCGGCATCTAGAATATGTTAGGTACTTGTACTGGGGATCCTCAACATCTCCCCCCAGGTTTGGTGATTTGCTAGGAGGATGTATAAGACTCGGCATATAATCACACCCAGGGCTAAAAATTTCAGTGAAAGGATCCAAAGCAAAATCAACAAAGGGAAGAGGTGCGTGGGACAAAGTCCAGAGGACTTTGCGAGTTTCTGAGAGTCCTCCCCTGCGGAGTCACATGGGACACGCTTAATTCTTCTGTCATTGAATTGTGACCTACTCCCTGCCCCGGGGTTTTAGTGGGGTCTGGCCGTACAGGCACCCTCTGCTGAGCATGTACTGAAATTCTGGACTCCCAGGAGAAAACATGTGCTCAGCCTAAGCCACGCTCTGTCCAGTCCAGGCACGGGGACCCCCTCTTATTGCCTTGAGGAACGTTTTACATGAGTGTAGGGGACTGCTTGCCATTGAAGTTCCCAGCTGCCAGCCAAGGGTCAGCTTGTAAGCAGGTCTTTCTAAGGATAGACGTCTCGGGGCTGCAACAGTAACTCCTTTCTCCCTCTTCGGAAATATTTGTGAGTGAGTGAATTGGCCAGTGTGATTGAGAGGCCTGTGGAATCACATCTCGAGCCTCCCAAAGGCCAGAAGGTGTGGCCTCCCCTCCTTTGTCAGCAGTAATACCCCCGGACGGAGGACAGTGGCGAGCCCGCCCTTCCTCCTGTCCTCAGGTCCTTGGTAAGTGTGCCTCTCTGGTCCCTAGGTGTTGAAGCACAACGGGTCGTCAGAAATTCTCAATAAACTGTACGACACGGCCATGGACAAGCTGGAGGTGGTCAAGAAGGACTATGATGCCCTGCGGAAGAGGTACAGCGAGAAAGTTGCCATCCACAACTCCGACCTGAGCCGCCTGGAACAGCTGGAGGAGGAGAACCAGCGTCTGCTGAAGCAGACGGAGATGCTGACTCAGCAGAGGGACACGGCCATCCAGCTGCAGCACCAGTGTGCCCTCTCCCTGAGGAGGTAAGAGCCGCCCGTCCGCCCGTCTCCTGTGCGAAGAGAACGGCCAGAGGGCCAAGTGGGTCTTCTCTGCCTTGGGACCGCTCTTCTTTGTGGGCTTATTGTTATCTGCGAGGCTCTCCGCTGTTCCCAAGGAGTGAAAAAAAAAAAAAAAAAAAAAAAAAAGGGAAGGCACAAGTGACTGTGCGTTTTCATTTGAAAAAATTTTTTTGGAATACTTTGGAAATGTTTTGTTGGCACTCAGTGTGGCTTGGGAATTGCACTTTTTCCTCCCGTCTGAACAGCTCTGATGTGTTCTGATCACCTCGTTTCTTACATCTCCTCATAAGCCTCTCCCTTCTGTGTCATCTACCCGCCCAGCATAGGAGAGTTATTCATCCTAGGCATTGTTTCTTCTAAAATTTCACTTTTTTAAAGGTATAAAATCTGTAGGGAAGTGACCCTTGCCCTCAAACACTGTTTCGTAAGGTACATTCCTGCAGAACGCCAGTTCTCTGGAGGGTTCACTGGTGTCCTATGCATGCTGTTCTCTGGATGTAAAAGGGATTAGTAGTTGCCAGGTTATACTTAGACAGGTTATACTTATACGGTTGCCAGGTTATACTTAGACAGAAGTCTGCGGGACTTCTCAGAGCCTTCACTCTGATACTCTGTACTAGTCTCTCCAGGAGGGGGACACAGTGTTTCCCAATGTAAGGCCATCAGAGAACACACTTTTTTTTTT